ATACAGGCAAATGCGATGGAGCAGATCAGTGATAATGAACAATAGTCTTTTATCCTGTGTCAGGGGAACTTTTGGTGGCCCATCAAGTAGGTGGTTGCTGGTGGCCTTGGTGTTATCTGGTCTGCCTTCAGGATTATTGTTCCATGACCTTCTTTTCGGAAAATAGCTCCTGGGTTTAGGTACAATATATTTAGGGTAGGTGTAAGTCATAGGGTTGGGGTTGCCAAGAACACTGTCATTCAGGCAAATTAAACAATAGCAGTAGCAAGGAGACAAACAGGTTAGTCCATTAGAAGTAACTCAAAGAAAGCAAGTTAATTAATCACAATAAATTCTTAAGTTCACTCTCTGCACAAGCCCTGTATATTCCTCTCTCTCTTCCCCCAGTGAGAAGGAGTGGATTTTAGATAAGTCAAATTCAAGGAAATTCACTGGGCCATAGTATTAAGAAATGAAGTTTTCCATGTGATAATGGAAAGAGATTGAAGTTCTAAGTCCTTGTTTAATTATCTATTACTGCGTAACAAAGCAGTCCAAAACTTCATGGCTTAAAACAGCAACAATTTATTATTTCTTAGGATTCTGCAATCTAAGGTGAGCTCAGCTGGGTGGTTTTCTGTTCCATGTGGTGGTGCTGAGTTGGAATGTCCAATGTGAATTCTTCACTCACATGTTCAATGCTTAAGCCTGGAGGGCTGGAACTGGAGACTGGCCTGGTGTCTCTTTCCACGTGTCGACTCAATGTAACTAGTCTGTCTTCCTCAAAGCAGGATAGTCCCAGAGCTTCATACATGACAGCTAGAGACATCCAAGAGAGACAAAGAAAAGCTATCAGTTCTCTGAAAGTGTAGGCCCAGAACTGACGCATAGTCTGCTGGGCAGAGCAAGTCACAAGGCCAGTTCAGACCCCAGGAGGGGGAACAGACTCTACTTGAAGGGAGGAGCACCGTGTTTGTCCAGGGAGGGAGGGAGCTGATGGCCATTGTCCTGGGAGATGACCTGCCCAGCTCTCGCTGTAAGGGAGTGGAAAGGGCACTCTCTGGTCCTAGAGGCTGATGCACAGGATGCTGGAGCTGCCTCACCTTGGACGAATTGGGAGGACAGGACCAGATTAAACCTTAGGGAGAAAAGCTCTCGCTGCCTTGCCTGCTTCTCACCTTGCCTTCCTCTGGAAACATAATATCTCCACCTTGAGTAGTTAATGAGCCTGGACCCAGAAGGAGGGAGGAAGACAGACAAAGCCTACACTTGCTAAAAGAGGCTCTCCTGGTAGCCCTGCTTAGGTCACAAGGGGATTGGGGCCACTTTGGGATAGTGCTGTGAATGAAAAATACTGCAAGCCACATCAGTAACAAAGAATGCTGTGGCCAACAAGACATCAGCCGCTACTGCCACCCGCAACAGTGAGTGGGGGTACTCAGGATGCAGGCAAGCAGGCAGCCTGGCCTCTGCAGCCACCCCAGCAGTGCTACCTGAGGGATGTGAAAGAACCGGAGACTGGCCCCAGATAGCTAAGGTGCGTGTCGAAGGAATGATTTCAATGAGCCCAGACCTTTGCACATTCCCATACTTAGAAAGGGGCTAAATTCCTTAACTCAAGATATGTGGTTTTCTTTAACAGTCAACTTGTTGATGTAACAGCAAACTTATGACGACTTCCTGGTCTTTGTTGTAAGAACTCCTACATATCCTGGCTCCTTCCTTACCTCTTCCGAGCAGTCCTTCAGAGCAATCTGAGAGGTTGTCATCCCAGGCTCAAAGGGTTCGCGTCCTCAGAAGTGTCTGCTGAATAAAACATAACTGTCAACTTTTAGGTTGTGCATTTTATTTCAGTCGACAGGGCCAAAACCCCATCTATAGAGCTCGCATTTGGCATGTCCTCTGAGCTGTCAGGGAGCCAGGGAGCAGGGGCTGTGACAGGAGTCTGGTGTTTAGAGAAACTGAGCCTCAGCCAAGTGCTACTGCGACCTCCTCATGGCTGCACTTCCATGAATGGCTGTTTCTGTTGATTAACCTCTGTTCTGGAGGTGGGTGGTTGGGGTGCCGGAGCACAGCAACGCTAGGTGGGGGACAGCCACGGGGAACACTCCTCCTTCTGACGCAGAGTGGATGCTGAGCAACAGACCACCTCAAACACTGTGTTCGGGGCAGTTTTCCTAGCTGCTGCCTCTAGTGAGCAGGGATGCTGCTAAACATCCACAGTGCACAAGACAGCCCCACGGCAGGGAAGCATTTGGTCCTAAGAGCCAGCAGAGCTGAGGATGAGAAGCCCTGCCCTGCATGACCTTTACCTTCCCCTTTTGCCCTGACGTGGCTGTGAGGGGGAGCCTTAAAAAGGGGGAAAAGGGCTCCAAATTAAAAGTACATTTGTGCATTTAGTCAAATAAGCAAAAAGGCTTATCAAACAGCTTGGTTACTGTTTCATCTCCAGAGATGGTCTCTTCCGTCTCCATTTTACCATCCCTTCCATCTGGAAACTTTGTCTCTGCTATATTCTGACAAGCAGCAAATGATTGCAACAGCGTTTAATCTTTGTTCACCTCCATCTCCCCTACCCACCTCGCACCGTCTCCCTCCCCTGTTAAAAGATCTGGTTCTCTGTGAAAACCACAAGCGAGGCCACAGCTGCATGAGTGAGTGATTTTCACCTCTCTCCGCAAGTTGTGCTGTTTGACTTTGAACAGGAGCCTTATCGACTGGTAAGGCCACACTGTCCTTCCAGCCCCACTTTGAGCTGCAAGGATCTTTGGCAGGTGATTTCCTCTTTCTTTTCTTGTTCTGCTATTAGCACAGTAATAACGATCATAGCATTTCCATCCTTTCAGGCCTCTCATGGGGGATGACACCCGTGCAAGGGACTTGAGCTTCTGCCGATGACGTCTTCGTCATTTTGTTGAGCCCCACGACAGCAGCCGCCCTGCTGCTCATTAACACGCTGCTGGTAATGAGGTTTTGCTGACACTCCTGGGGAGCTTGATTTGTCAGAGGGCAGCAAACCGTGGCCTGGAGGATGTGAGCCGAGCCCTGTCCTTTCCCCGACGTGACAATCCTGGCATTTTCACGGCTGAGGGGATATATTGCTCTCTCTCCAAGCCTGCACTGAATTCTCATCACTCGTCTGCCTTATTCCAAATCATGCCCAGCACTGGTTAAATCAAGTAGGCGACATTCATTTTTCAGGATACGATAGAGATACTAATAAGATCAAGTGTATCTAAACTAGTAAGGTAGTAAAATAACCAAGATATATGAAATGCCACAAAAGATTGCATCACAACCTGCATAAGTGAGCTTGCTTACAAACATTCCCTAGCATTAATATTGAGGTAGGCACATAGAACATCTGGAGGAATATAGTAAAACCTCTTGATAGTGATTATCCTAGGACCAGAAAGGAGGTGGGGGACGTCACAGGGAAGCGTTCCTGTCTATGGTTTATAACGAGCTTGTCTGTTGTGGACGTTTGTCCAGCTTCCATCCACCTTCTGCTAAGCTCTTCCAGCTCTCTACCCTCCCCTTCCCTCTCCCCCGCTGTCACCATCCTCCCCACCTTCTTTCTGTCCTCTCATTTGAAAGTGCCAAAAACCCTTCTAATACTTTCCTTAGTTTCACACACAAATGGTATTATACACTCATCTGAAAAGTTGTTGCTGTGCTGTACACCAGAAATTGACTGACTATTGTAAACTGACTATACTTCAATAAAA